CCGCAAACACACCTCTCTAACCCGCGATCCGCATTTTCGACCGTATCTGCTGTCACCGGCTCTCAGAGTGGAAGCCGTCTCTGTTTCTTCTGCAAGCAGCCAAACCATCGACCGTCGAGATGCACCGCAAAACTCGAGCCCAAGGATCGACTTCAGATTCTCGACAAGTTGAGACGATGCCATCGATGCTTTCGTTTCCGTCATGACGACAAGACCAGATGCAAGGGACCCCGAGAAGATTGTACGAAATGCAAGTCGAGCGATCACTATTCGGTCATGCACTGCGAAGACTTGAAGTCCACGGTTTCTGTAGTGTCGACCACCGACGACGAGCGATCGATCCCTGCCGTTCTCCTCCACACGGCAAGCGCTTTCGTCGTCCACGGCTCTCAACGCATTCCAGTCCGACTCTTTCTGGACAGTGGCAGCGCTCTCACTTTCGTTTCGCCGAGACTCATGCATCTCCTTCCCGACTTCAAGCCAATATCTTCGGCTCGACTTGGCCTCACCACGTTTACCTCCAATCACGACCTCGTCTCGAAGCAGTTTAGGTTGACCATTCAGAGCACTCACGACTCGGCACGGGTGGACGTCAACGCATACGAGTACGACTTCATGGTTGATCCGTCGCCTCGGTGCTCCGAAAAAGATCGCAAGATCATCGATGGCTTCGCGGCGACCCACCGTCTGGCTGACTCCGCGCTCGCTACGAACACAGCCGGGCCATCGGTCTCGTTGTTGATAGGGAGGGATCAATTCTTCAAGATCGCTCATGTCGGCATCGAGCAGACTCTCGAGGGGGAGCTGGTCGCCCGCGGATCTATACTCGGATGGATAATCGGTGGAACAGCCGAAAGGGCGATCGAGCCGCGGCTGGAGCTGCTGCAGGCCAACGTCCACTGTTGTGTGGCGAGCATTTCGCGCAACGCCGAGGAGCTCGAGAGACTATGGAGTCTCGAGGCAATCGGCATCGAGAAGGAAGATGCTTCTCCTCTGAGCTCCGACGAGCTAAGCGCGACTCGTCAGTTCAAGGACAGCCTGAAGTATGAGAACTCACGATATACGGTCAGCATGCCTCGCAGACCGGGCGTCGAAGAGCTCCGCGACAACCTCGAGCAGGCTCTTGATCGTCTAAACAGCAAGCTGAGGGGGCTCCGCAGCCACCCGGTCACCTACAGCAGGTATCACCAGGAGGTCATGTCATTCGTGGAGCAGGGACACGCGGAGGAAGTCGGAAAGTTTTCGGCCGAGGTCTACCGGCAGGACTCTTCGCTACGCCAAGGCTCCTACTTTATGCCTCACCACAACGTCGTTACCGCTTCGGATAAGGGAGAGAAATGGCGAATTGTATTCGACTGCTCCTCCTCAGCGCGTGGCTGCAGATCTCTCAACTCATATCTGCTCCCTGGCCCCAACCTCAACCCGGACATCGTGGGAGTTCTCTTGAACTTTCGTCTCCACGCTGTCGCGGTTTCCGCGGACATAGCTCGAGCGTATCTCTGCATAAACGTGAGCGAGTCTGATAGGCAATTGTTTCGCTTTCTGTGGCAGGGACCCGAGGACACTCAACCCCGCTGCTACCAGATGAAAAAGGTCACCTGGGGAGCTACCCCTAGTGGCTTCCTTCTTGCCGCCACGCTTCGCGAGCACTTTTTACGTGTCGATCCCGAGTCCACCATGCGCTTGGGGGAATCGTTCTATCACGACGACCTTCTGAGAAGTTTCCCATCGGTTGCTGACGCGAGGATCTTCGCCGACACGATCCAAGACAATCTGCGTTCTGCCGGCATGGAACTTGCGAAATGGAAGACGAATTCCCGCCCACTCGCGGAGCACCTCACTCGTCGAGGGGTTCCGGAAGCTGCGTTGAATCTGGATGCGGGAAAACTCCTCAAAGTTTTGGGAATTTCCTGGCATCCAACGGAAGACTCTTTCCAGTTCGCTCTCGACCATGTCGTGGATCGGGCAAGGGCTACGAGGATTCGAACCAAACGGTCCGTGTTGAGGCTGGTTGCCTCCATCTACGACCCTCTGGGCTGGCTCGCACCATTCCTCATTCGTGGAAAGCTCCTTCTCAGGGCGCTCTGGGCCGCCGATCTCAAATGGGACGATCCTCTCAGCGGCAACTTGACTTCAGATGCGCAGACCTGGACAGAAGAGGTCCCGGCTCTTTCGAAGGTTCGCATCCCACGTTGCATTGGCGTTCGCGGCGTTCCTCCCACCGGTCGTCATCTCCATCTGTTCGGGGATGCGTCACCAATCGCCTACTCTGCTGTGGCCTACATGCAGACCCTTTTCGCGGATGGAACGTGCAAGACTTCAATCATCATGTCCAAGACTCGTGTCGCTCCGCGGCAGCCGCTGAGCCTCCCTCGCCTCGAGCTCATGGCCGCTCTCCTCACAGTTCGATTGCGAAACTACATCGTTGACCAGCTCATGGTTCCGGTTGATCGAGTGACGTTCTACACCGATTCCATGGTAACCTATTATTGGTGTACTGCGTCATCAGCCGGTCGTTGGAAAACCTTCGTGAACAATCGAGTGTCCGAGATCCAGGCTTCATCGACGGCTGATCAATGGCATCATGTCCCCGGTTCGCTCAACATAGCTGATCTTGCCACGAGGGGTGTCTCGGCTGGAGAACTCAGCAGAAACACCACTTGGTGGCGCGGGCCGGAATGGCTGTCTCTCCCGGAGACTGAAAGACCCATTTCGCAACCAGGCCAAGACGACACGCCATCCCTTTCGGCGGTCGACAACGAATTGCGGATGACCAGCGCCGCGATCACCGTACGTCCGGATTGCCAATGCTTGGTCGACATCAAGCGCTACAGCACGCTGGGAGCGGTTGTCCGAACGACCGAGATGATCTTCAGGTCTATACGACGTATGCGCAAACTGCCGCCCATCACCGCATCCTGCTCGCGTCAACAGGCTCTCAACCATCTCATCAAATGGACTCAGCGACAACACTTCCCGCGAGAACTCGAGGCAGCATCGGCCGACGACTTCCCCGCTCGGAACTCCAAGGTGGCTGGTCTCAAGTTGTTCATCGATCAAGACGGTCTTCTCCGCGCGAGGACCCGACTCTACGCCAGCCCGCATTTCACCGACGACGAAAAGACACCCATCGTGATCCCCGGAGAATCACATCTCGCATCCTTGCTCATAGTCGACGAGCACAGGGTCAACGCACATCTGGGTGTATCCACGATCCTCGCAGCATTGCGGCGTCGTTACTGGATAACACGCGGCCGCCAGCGCATCAAGTCGATTCTGGGGAAATGCGTGATTTGTCGCAAACAACACGGTCCGACGCAAAAGGTTATCGAGGCGCCTCTCCCGGAGTCACGTCTGAGTCCTGTCGTGCCCTTCCAGACGAGCGGTCTGGATTTCTGTGGTCCATTCCTCACCCGGCTCGGCTCGGATACTCAGAAGAATTACATCGCTCTCTTCACGTGCTCCACCGTTCGTGCAGTGCACTTAGAGCTCGTGCCCTCGATGACAACCGCGCAAACCCATCTCGCTATCCGCAGGTTCCTGAGTTTGTATCCCGAATGCTCCGCTCTGGTCTCGGACAACGCACGCTCCTTCGTCAAGGCAGCCGCTGATATCAAGCGCCTTTTCAATTCGAAGAGACACCCGGACATACGCGAGCTCCTGTCGAAGCACGGACTGGAATGGAGGTTCATCTGCCCGCGCGCTCCATGGCACGGGGGATTTTGGGAGCGGATGGTTGGGACCGTCAAGGGCGCTTTGAAGCGAACGCTAGGGGAGAAGTTTACTCACGTTCGAGGAACTTCGAACGATAATCGCTGAGATCGCCGCCACCGTGAACAACCGTCCGCTCACCTACGTCTCAGGAGATCCCGACGAGCCGACGCCACTGACTCCCTCGCACTTCCTGAGAGGCGCTCCCCTCCGACCGCCGCTTTGCTCGATCACCCCGCTCGACGAGATGAACAAAAATCGCCTGCGCTCCGATCTCCTCAACCGCACCACGTACTACAGAGCGCTCGCGACGCGTTGGCGTCGCGAGTATATTACTCAACTCCGGAGCATCAGCGAAACAGAGCGCGGCGGAAAGCCCGTCATAAGCGTCGGTGACGTCTGTCTTTTGGAGGAAGACAACCGGCCACGGATCGGCTGGCAGCTCGTCAGAGTCCTAGAGCAGAACATCGGCCGCGACGGAGTCGTCAGAACGTACACGGTCAAATTCGCCAACGGCTACGTGACGCGTCGAGCAGCAAGACTGCTCGTTCCCCTAGAAGTCGCATAACGCACATCAGCATACCAAGAGAAAGAAGGCGCAAGCTGACTCCCTTCAGAACTCAGCTTGGGTGGACTGTAAATTATATCGAAAGTTATCTTGTGAGAATTCCAGTCATGTAAATAATCGCGGTCGAATTTCAACGCTCCATTTGCCCTCTCCCTGTCGAACCGCTTGGAGAGCTGTCACAACAATAAATCAGTCGTGCAGAGTTTGTGAGGACGACGTATCGAGTCCTCAGTTTCCTCTCGAAAATGATGCGAACGCCGCCAAAGTCAGGTATTCAATTGTGAAGAAATCTCAAGGGTATTTGGCGGGCTTGCTGTCTTGGACAAATTTTCCATGAATTTGCGATAGTATGAGCACAATCCGAGGAAACTTCTTACCGCCTTTTGATTCGTCGGGGTCGGGATTTCTCGTCTCTCCCCTTCCAGCAGCGATTTTTCGATCGCGTTTTCGATTTCCTCTTCGGCGTGGTGGCTCGGCGAGATCTTCCTCTCCAAATGTGTTTCGAGGTTTTGTGTCGAGTCTCCTCCGAGAGCTGCGATTGTGAATTCTTCTTGGAGCGGCGACGCTCCGGCGATGAACATCCCTCTCGGAAGAACCACCCGAGCTGTCGAATGGTTTTCGATTACAGTTGTCGTTTTGCCGGGGCGGATATCCACGACTGCTGGTGGTGACCGGAGATTCTTCTTTTCTCCGAGCGCTGGAACTGGTTTGATGAGAAAGGTTTTGCCGTAGGAACTAAGGCCGATTGATATGTCTAGCTCTTGTACTATAATTCTAGTTTCTCCTGCCGCAATAACTACCCTTGTCGTTGTTCAGAGCCTGGCTCTAAGCTCCGATGTTCCGCCCTATCTCATGCCCGCTCTCGCTGCCTGTGGGCCCTGCGCGTTGTCATCCTTGCTCAGTTCGCAAACCGACACCTTTCGAACGTGGTTTATGACTTGGGGTTCTCTTTCGTTAGTTCCTATCTCTCTCACTCAGTGATCAGGCATATTTTGGAAGCTGACGGTGTCCCGTTTGAGATCTATGAGAGCGCCGTGTTGTTTCCAGAAGTCTAGACCCAGTATGATTCCGTTGCTTGAATTGTCAATGACTACTACTTCGCACGGGATCCAAGTTTTATTTTCATCGAAGGATATTCGCAGGGCGCAATGGCCACGTATCGGCACTCTTGAGTTGTCCGCTACCCTGACGAATTTTTGGATGCTAGGCTGAATTTAACGAATTTTTTGGCGAGATCGGGATGTATGGGTGAGACATCGGCGCCCAGATCCACTAATGCTAGAGCCTGTTCGTCACTACCTAAATACACTTGTATGCGGTTCCCGTGAATGCGGTGGGCGGCGATGAAGTCTTCGCGGATTTCTTCTAGCGGCCGTAGGAGTTTCCCGACTGCTGGAGCCTCGCTCGGGTCCTCGGCTTGAGCTCCAATCTGCGCCTGCAATGCTTGAGCCGGAGATCTGCCTCTTTGTGCGTAGCTTGCTGGAGCCGGTGATCTGCTTCTATGCTGGAACTGAGGGTGACGGTCGAGACTGCTGGAGCGCGATTTATCTCTTCTATCTATCGGGTTTCTCTCTCGATGAACTGCGGGATCTCCCGAAGCGAACTTCTTCGTACTCATTTCTACTGGATCCCCCGATTCTGTTGATTGCTAGATCCGATGGCTGTGACTTCCTCTCGTGTAGATGCGGGATCGTCTTGTCCATCCATGTGAGGTGAGCCCGCAGCTCACTGATGGTCGTCGGTCTGACAGAGAGAAGCGCGTAAGCTTCCCCCGACCGAAGTGTCTGGAGACGCCTTTCGATGACCCGCTCCTCGCTCATTTCTGGGTCGAAGTCGTAACACAATTTCATTGTGTACTCCAACTGCGGAGTGAGTCGTTGGTCTTTGTCTCTCGTGAGCGTCTCCAGTTTTCTGGGCGCCTCATGTCGTTTGGCCGCGAGAACTACAAAGCGGCTCTTGAAGCGAGCCTCGAACGTGGCCCACGACACGAGTGGGGCTCGCAAAACACCGGTATTAAAAATACCGGTATGATACCGATAAATACCGATAATGGCCAGAATACCGGTACAACACCGGTATTCCGATAATGGCCAAGATACCGGTACAATACCGGTACGATACCGGTATTTCTCACCGATCGTACCGATACCGTCCATGATATCGGTGGAATGTCGGTATTCTCCATACCGCTAGTTACTAGTGAGGACTCGACTGGAACGACAAATCAAATCTATCAAGTACTGTTGTAGATTATCGAAAATACCTTTATTTGCAAGGAATACCGCTACATCTGACTCAGGCGAAACATTGGGGGCTGGTTTTCCGAATCTCGGATCTCCGCACCTGATTTCCCCCTTATCTAATCACCATGATTTCTCTTAGAAGGAAGAACACTAGATTAGAGCATGAATAAGTGCTTTTCAATGACGGTCATCATGGTTCGTAATCGGAGGATTCATAAACTAACATCGACAGTCGTAGCTCGCTAGGTTGGCTCTCAAGAAAACTAAGGCATCGAGAGTATGCGGTGCAAGCGAGTTTCGAGTCTTCGAGCAGACGTAATTCATCGTGCTAAAATCTCTCTCTGGCTGGACAGAAGTTGGTGCCACTGTCAGAAGTTTCCGCAGGCAGCAACCCAACAACTGTGCATGCCCTTGAGACGCTTCATGAATTCTCATTTCATGTCGTATTTTGTTCATCGTGGGCTCCGTGTTATAACACGCTTGGTTTCGAACGAGAAGGGGTTCGGAGAATATAGTGTCGAATGAAAGCCCAGCTCCACTTGATGTTCGGGGCTCGTTCTCTTCTTCCGGGCTTTCGAACTCGAAAGCGTTTTTGATATGTGAGAAGCTCTCCTGCTCTCTCTCTAGGCTACTGACCACAGAGTAGTCGGAGGACTATGTGACGACAACCACGGCTCTTTTATTCAGCGGGCTCCCTGACACAATGTGTCATCGACAGCTGCTAGTCCCTGAATGATGCCTCTCTATTTCTATTCTCCGTCGTCTGCTACCTAAGCGCCCTCTACACTCAAGAGATGACCCTACTCTCACTCGATTCATAACGCGCGAACACACACATTGTTACATTCGGCCACGCTATCTGTGCTTTCCTCCTGGGAAGCTGACACTGAATTCGCTAAATATCCATCTAACTAACAAAAAAACAGTCCGCTCGGGTGGGTGGTCGGCAGCCCCAGATATCTGTGGGGAACACTCCGCTGGTCCACTAAGAGAGTACACGAGGGGGTATCCTTAGCTCCGAGAGCGGGTGGCCTGCACTAATTATGGGAACTGGTTCCCGAGGAAATTGACTGATGACGGGCCGGGGAGACTTGCTCGTCCAAAACCCGTGGTTGCCGTCACAGATGGTTCGAGTCCGATAAGTGTGGTTATCGTGGCCTCGGTTCGAGATTCTTATCACTATCGCGTTGTCGCGATCATACGCCAAATCGAATCGCTCCAAGATGGCGACTGTTGTATGTTGACGATCGAGAGTGACTTTTGTTACAGATCGCGGTCGATCTGTGTTGACGATAAATTGACACAAGAGAAAACACGATTTCTTGGGGAAAAACGCTGATTCTCCCTCACTGCCCAACGCGCCGGATCGCGATCGATCCGCTAGCGGCTGCAGGTGAAGGTGTGTGTTCTCGCTGATGTCTCCTCAACGCGCGGTAGAGAGCGGGGAGAGGAGACGTTGCGAGGAGGAAAGGTGCAAGGGAGAACCGCGCACTTTAATTGAATCACCGAAGGGTCTCTTCCTCGAGACGCCTTTCGTAACAACTTTTGATGCGGACGCTTCGCGTGAAGCGTGAACGTCCGTCCTCGATCTCCACGCCCATTCTTCGAGCTTCAGTGCAGGCCGCCGCGCGGAGTATTTATTTGTTGAATCTGACGGATATTTATCCATTTAAATCATAAGGATGATATAGATTACAGCAGCAACAAGTTCCCGCTCCTAATGAGCCGAGCTTTACTATATAACATGATTACGTAACTACTCTCTAGCCTCGGCGGATGGTGAGTGTTTGAATTGTGTGTGCCGTGTTGTTGTACGAATTACTGATCGCAACGGAGCTCCCGAGGAGTCCGTTCGTGACACTCCCCCCCTGGATTTTCGAAGGAAATCTTAAAGTGTTCTCAAATTACGAGCTGCGCTGGCGGCCGATGTTCTCTCGCGTCTTCCGTAGCCCTTCCCTTGAATCCACTGCTTCGACGTCTCCGTTTCTAACGGTCTGAGCCACTTGTGCTCTACCGTCCGACGAGTGCGTACTTAGTTCTTCATTGTTTCGAACACCGCACATGGAACCCGAAAACTGGTCCCCGAGGCGGGGGGGAACCCCCGACACGTCACCGTTCGGAATTTTCCAGCGTGACCTCCTGTGCTCGGAGCCCGTGCTCGGCCTTTACAATTACGTCGATTCCCGCGCCATATGCCTGGTCGCGTGGAGTGAATTTTCTCCCGCGGAGCGTGCTCTCTACAAGCGTGCGTCGGTCGCGGCTCGCCGAGCGGTTCGAACGGGCGCCCGACCCTCGGGCGTTGCCGGAGCTGCCGAGGAAGCTGAGGTGAGCTATGGTCCGAGTTTGTTGTACTGGTTTTATTTTGTGTGCCGGTTGCACACTCATGTTCTGTTTCACTCTTCGTTAGATTCGTGGTCCCGTATCCGTGGGCCTTCGCAGAATACCTCCGGCGTATACAGGAGGCGTCGGCCGCTCGGGAGGCCGATCCCCAGGCGCTCGGCGCTACGATCCAGGCCCCCGGCGTCCAGGAGTCCCTGCGGCTTAAGGGGGGCCCGGCCGAGCCCACCGAAGAACTGATGGTGCCGGTGCGTCGGACCTACGACGCCATGAAAGCATCATTACGGCCCGGCCAACCCCTTCCCGACTACGTCGACGTTCGCCGCCGAGTCTTCGAGCGGTTCGGAATCGCACCGGAGGAAACTTCGGAGTCGAGCAGTCCCTCGACGTGGGAGATGGACAGCGCCACTGAGAGCGGAGGACAGGTTGAACGCGCTTGGTGCTTTGTCGAGACCTGTCGGCCGTGGTTGCTAGAAATCCGCGACAAGAAAGTCGCCCGGCGACAAGAAATACGAGGAGACAGGGCCGCTCGGCGCCGCGCGCGTCGTGAAGAGCGCACTGCGCGTTGGCACGCCCGGCGTCGCGGGCCCCCCAGTTGGGCCGCGGCTCCCCAGACCGGCCCGGCCGATCGTGTCCCCGAATAAAGTTGTATTCCAAATAATCTTGATGTATATCATTTTTCGAAACAGCGCCGAGCCCTCCCCGGACTTGGCTTAGTGATCTTGAACTGAGGGTCGGCTATCGGGTTTCTGCCGTGTCCGAGACAATGGGATACAGCTTCTTTATGGGCCTAGTCAGTAGCTGCCCTCTTGCCGTTCGTATTGTGCATGTCCTCGAATTTTCGGCCCGGGAGGATTCCGGAAATAAGACAATTTTGCATAGCGGCCATATCGCCCTGTTTTGGCTGGTGTCTTCCGGCAGACAGATATCCCCGATTTTCAACGCCCGAGCCTGTGATGGTTGCCTGTTGTGAGCCGTGCGAAGTTGCATTAGATACTTGTCGCGTCTCGAAGCGCGAGTCGTACATACTGTACCAATGACCCATACCGGAACACCTTTCTGTTCAATAAATGATGGAGAGCAGTCGTCAGCTCTTCGTTCGCTCGCGGTGATCGCAGCCGGAATGTGGACGGCAGCACGTCCGATGGCAGCTCTCTCAGCCAGCCGCAGTGGAGCTCCGCCATCTTATCAGTAGCGTGCGCGAGACTCCGAAGGCATCGTCAGTCCTTTCGGGTTTCCGTCGAAATTCGCATGATCCGCGAGCGATCGACCGAGAGACGATCTCATCAATAGCATCGTCAGTGTTTTCCGTCCTCCGGTCGTTCCGGCTCGTGACATTTGGTGTCAGAAGTTACTTCAGAAGAACTTGCGCGTTGGAACCAGTTCAGCAGGCCACGCCGTCAGCTAGTGATCGAATCGATTCGTCATATCGACCATGAGCAACGAAGAAAAACCGAAACACATCGCCATTCCGGAGATGGAGGAACCCGACGAAGATCCGGGAAATTCCCAAGCCGAAATAGATGCCCATCAATGCGGTAGCTCGAGGGCTTCAGCTACACCTGGCGCCTCGAGAGTACATTGGAAAACTAGGCAAAAGTACGAGAAAATCCTCGAAGATCAGATTGCCAGACGTACTCTGGTTAGGAATAGTTTGGAAGATCGGGTCGACAGGATAAAACTGTTGTGCGAGAACCCCCCGGAAAACATTCGCCGTCACGCGAAACTCCACGCAGCAATGCTGGAGCGTTCCGAGTCAGAGCTGCGAACACTCGACACAGAAATTGCGGACCTGATGCGAAAACTCAACCCTTCGGATTTGGTGGAGGATTACGATCGGGTGATTTTCTTTGAAGAAATGGTGATCGGCGCCCAAAGCGATCTCGAAGACTTGCAGAAAGCCTCACTGGCGGATCGTAGTGAACATTCCGTTGGCGGTGCGAGCGCCGATGACCAATGCATCCAGCCGGATGCGGATGATCAGAGAGCTTCGACTCCCCAGATGGATCCCGGTGACCAGCGAGGCCCGGAGACAAATGTGTCAAGCCTCCCGATGATAGTGAAGGTGGTTCAGGAGAAATCCCCGCGTACGCCGAAGTTCAATGGGAATTTCAAACAATTCCGTGAATGGTCCCAGCTCTTCGAATCGTACGTGAACAGCAAAGACATACCCGTGATTCAGAAGTTCGCAAAGCTGAAAGAAAGCCTCATCGGCCCAGCGAGACAGGAAATAGCGCATATAAGTTTCTGTGAGAGCCAATACGAGATTGCCTTGAAGAGGATTCACGACGTTTACGGTGACGAACAAGATGCCGAGCAACAACATGTGAAGGAGATTAGCGGACTATTCAACGCCAAGGATCTCCATCGCCCAGATAAGTTGAGACATTTTCACTCGACTCTCTCTCAAAACGTTCTAGCCCTCGTGGCTCTCGGGAAAAGGATCGACGGGCTCTCCACATTCCTCGTACACAACCTAATTCGAGTACTCCCGCGTTCACTACAACTTCAGTTTCTTGACATTTACGAGGATTTACGGGAAAGCGGTGACTCCCGCTGTGAGTTGGAGGTACTGATAGATTTTCTGGAGCGGCAGGTGAAAATCCACCGGAAGATTGCGGACAGCTCGACGAGATACCGGAGTCCAACTCCCTATTCCTCGAATGATTCTCAATCTAACTACAAGCCGGCTCGGTTCGAACATCAGTCGGCCAACTTCAGCTCGACCGTCATAAACACAAGCCGCACCGTCCCCGCGGGACGACACATGTACAGTTGCGTTTTCTGTGAGGCATCCCACCTCAGCAGAAACTGCAAAGCGCCACTTACCCTAGAAGAACGTAAAGAGAAAGTATCGAGTAAGAGGGCGTGTTTCCGTTGCCTACGATTGAATCACTCAGCCGTCAACTGCAAAGCGAACGTTCGGTGTTCGATTTGTTCACACAAACATTACCCTCTCATGTGTCCAAAACAAGACAAAGTCTCGCCGTCAGTCAGTCAGTGTGACGTCACTACCACCATTCTCTCCAGCGTGGACGCGCTCGAAGGCTCGACGCTCCTTCCAACAGGCTTCGTCTGGGCACACTTCGGGAACAGGAAGAAAAAAGTCAGAATCCTTTTGGACACATGCTCCCATAGGTCATATGTGAGCAAGAGAACAATCTCCGACTTAGCCGCGAAGCCGACAGACTCAACGCTTCTGTCCCTCGGCTCCATCGGAGGTAATGTCTCTGATGTCCAACGCTTCCAGATATACGAACTCTCTCTACAGAGCTGCTTTTCTCCGCAAGTCGTGATACCCGTCAGGTGTCTCGAGATAGCCGAAATCTCAAAGTCGGTTCTACCGCTGGTTAAGCAGACCTATGGCTTAACGCCAAGCGCGGATCTCGGCGGAGATGGCGAGGACTTATCCATAGAGATTCTGCTGGGTGCAGATATCTTACCAAAAATCGAGAAAGAGCAGAAAAGACTCCTCGACGGTTTATCAGCTTTCAATACCCAATTCGGTTGGTTCTTCTACGGTGGGGTCGTGAAAGAGTCGGACACACGCCCACCAAGCCTGTGCGCCTTCAGTCTCATCCAGCCATGGAGACCCGAAGAGTCGAGGGTTTCTCCGGTCGAAGAAGAACCATTGACTAAAGATATAGACTTCCTTTGGAATTCTGAAACTCTGGGCATCGAAAGTCCAAACGAAAATCAGAACGAAATAGACGAGCTGGATGAGGAATTGATCAAGCATCACAGAAGAACGACGAGAAAACTAGCGGATGGACGCTTTTCCGTTTCTCTCCCTTTTCGCAACAATCTCGAAACGCTAGGGGATAACGAATCGCTCACGAGATCTAGATTGATCAGACTGTTAAACAGTCTCGCGAACGATCAAGACACGATCGGAACCATCGATAAGGAAATATCGGAATACATCAGCAATGGCTACGCGGAGCCGGCTCCGCCACGAATTGATGGGGAGCCGGCACATTATCTGCCGATCCAGGCGATCGTTAAGTCTTCCCCCGAATACCCGACAGGGAAGAAGTCAAGAATCGTTAAAGACGCATCTGCAAGATCAGCGGACAGGGCATCATTGAACGATGTCCTCCATCAGGGACCCAGTTTGCTTCCCGATATACTCAAAGTACTGATACACGTTAGACGCTTCAAATACGCTGTAGCGGCGGATGTGGAGAAAGCATTCCTCCAAATCAAAGTAAACCCCGACCATCGGACATTTCTCCGTTTTCTGTGGCCCCTCGGAATCTCCACAAACCCGAGGGCTCGATGGCAAGAATTCTGGAACACATCTCTGGACTTCGGTTTGGTTTGCTCCCCTTTCTTGTTCTGCCAAACTATCAAACTGCTCCTGGAGTCACAAGCAGCGGAGGACACACAAAAATCTGCGTTAGCAAATGAAGTAATCGATTCCTACTACATGGACGACGTATTCTCGGGTGGAGACTCTCTTAACGAAGCCTCTCACAAGATCAAGCTACTTTTTGAAATGTTTTACGCAGGCAAATTCCGACTTCGGAAATGGTCAACTAATTCGAGCGCTCTTGCGGATATCATACCGCTCACCGTACCGTTTCCTGACGTAAATGTGACCTGCGAGAAAACAGATGCGAAACTCCTTGGAGTGAAATGGAACCAAAGGGAAGACTCGCTCGGCGTCTTTACCAAGAAGGCGCTCGTCGAGATGAAGTCCGATCGAGCCTCGAAGAGAATATTACTGAAGGCTCTCGCCCAGCTGTTTGACCCCCTAGGTATAATGTCGCCCTCTACCGTATCAGCGAAGATTCTCTTACAGAAGCTCTGGAAGAAAGCCAGAGACTGGGATGAAGACCTCGAGGGCGACGACCTGGACGACTTCGTTCGATTTCGCGAGTGCATCGAAAGGTCAAGCAGTCTCAGTGTACCACGTCCCTTGAAAACCGACGATAGGAATCTGGCGGTCAGGGAATTACATACGTTCTCTGATGCGAGTCTTTCGGCGTACGGCTGTGTCTGCTACGTACGAGATATTTTCTCAAACGGTCCTGCGAAGGTTTCCTTTCTGATGTCAAAGGCGAGAGTTTCACCACTAAAGAGCAAGCAGACGATACACCGACTCGAACTCCAGGGAGCGGTCGTGGCAGCCCGAATTGCGCTAAGGGTGGGCAATTACTTGATTCCCCAACCAGAGCGGAAGCTCTATTATACTGACAACGCCGCTTGCTTGGGCTGGCTACGGGACTCCAATGCGAAATGGAAAACATTCGTGGCTAACCGAACAAGAGAAATACTGAGTTCGTCCCGCCCATCGGACTGGTCTTACGTCAAATCCTCAGACAACCCAGCTGATATACTTAGCAGGGCCATGGACATTAACGAGGAAGCAACGAAACTCATGTGGCTCAAAGGACCGCCATGGCTGGAACCTTTTGGTAAAGATCCGAGCCTTCACCCACTCAACACACCCAGAGCCACAACAGAAACAGATGCGGAACGTATCGAAGAGATCTGCATGATGACCGTCTCGGCTCCGCAGGAACATCTCTTTGATGAACTGTCCTTAATCAGCCGGACGAACAGCTGGCCCAAGATAGTCAGAATTTGGGCATTCACCAGAAGAGTCGCCCAGAAGTTCTGTCAGACCCGAGTTAGACTCGACCAACAGGGAAGCTTGGGACAAACGGCCATGAATTCGGGAAGGGATCCGCCAATCAATCTACTAACTATATCTACGGAGGAATTCGTGTTGTCACGAGACGACCTGATCAGGAGAATCCAGCAAAGGCGTTTCCCGATAGAATACTCTTCCGAATGCCAAAGCGTGCCGAAAACCAGCTCCCTTTTCAAATACAGCCCTTTCTTCAGTGAAGACAGGTTTATCCGTAGCAGGACTCGCCTTGAGAGAGCCGAATCGTTCACGTACGATGAGATATACCCGATTCTTTTACCCTCCGACGAACCCGCCGTAAAGCTACTAATTCTCAATATACACGCGCGGGAATGCCTCCATTCCGGTGGAATCGTCGGCACTCTACACAATCTCAGAAGGCGCTATCTGGTCCTGAAGGCCAGACGCCTCACTAAGACGTCATAGCGAAGTGTACGACTTGTCGTCGCTTCAAGG